AATTCTATGTATCTGGCATTATGAGTTTATATATATATATATATATATATATATTTACAAAATAAAAAAAACCTAATATATGTAATAATTCATAAATAAATAAAAAAATTTACGTACCATGTACAAAAATGTTATTTGATTCAAAATGTGTATAAATAAATGTATATATGTGTGTGTGTGTGTGTGTGTGTGTGTGTGTGTATTTATATAATTAGACTATATTAATTTACCTACTTACTATTTGAAATGTTCATTTCCAATTATGCAAAATATTGTATACCAACAACAAAATATTGCATAAACATAAGCTAATATATGTAATAATACATGAAAAATAATTTACCTACCATGTATACAAAAATGTTATTTGATTCAAAATATATAATCTAGGTTTTCTCCAAAAAAAATAAAATAAAATATATATATGTATATATATATATATATAATCTAGGTGAGGTATATATATATATATATATATTTTTATATAATTGGAACAAATTAATTTCCAATAATTTACCTACAACAAATTATACTCCATGTGTAATATAATATCTTTTTTTTACTAAGACATGGAGAATAATTTACCCATAACTAGAAGAAATATAATTCGATGTATTATATTGAAAAATATTATGTCATACCTATATTTATACAACAATAAAATGTGCCTAATATATGTAACAATACATGAAAAATGATTTACCTACAAGTTAGAGAAGTGTTATTTGATTCAAAATATATAATACATATTTAGTATAATTTTTTTTACTAATTGGAACAACTTAATTTACTTCCCAATTAATGCAATACAACTGTTTATATATTTTATTTCACTTTTTCTACAACTTTTAATTTGGAATAAATTTAGGGATTTGGGAAAGTGGCATGGGTGTAAATAAATTGTATTAGTAGGTCAATAGTGTTCCAATGTGGTTGTAAATTTTAAATTTGGGCCTGTATTGGATGTTTATATGTAGATGAGTTTTTTATCTAGGAATCATGAATTGTAAGGGTCAAAATCTAAAGCATCCTTAAATTTAAAATCTCTTAAATTTAAAATCATGAATGAAGAATGAGCAATGCACACACAAAAATGAACAAGTGTGTGTCCCAATGGACTTTGGTAGCGCATGCGATTGGCAACATGACAAACTCAAAACCAAAGTTTTTGGTTCATACTAGAATTTTCTATCCAACTTGCACCCTAATTTAAACAAACAAAAGCAATCATAAAATTGGATCATATTGCAGTCCTATTAGACTAGAAATATGATTGTGTAAATCCTATCATATATGAGATATCTCTTAGATATATTATCATATTAGAGTTGTAATCCTATTAGGGTAAGGAATTTACATTCTCACTACTATAAATAAATGTGCAATGGGGTGATATAATTAGGGGTGAGTTCAAAAAACCAAAAATCGAAAAAAACCGGACTGAGGTAAAAAAAAACTGAACCAAACCGAACCGAACCAAATATATTTTAATTATATATAAACAAAAATATTACACCCAAAGGGGTTCAAACTCATTCCCACTTGGTTGAGTATCTTTCACTTAAACTATTTTGACAACAAGTTTTTATCTTTCCAATCCCATTATGAGTAGCATATTTAAAACAAGCTGGATCATAATTGTTTGATAGGTTATCAATTCCCATCTTTCCTCCAATCCCCATCTTTTATCTTTTCCCAATTCACATCTTTCATCTTTCCTTAACTCTAGCCGAAAAAACCATCTTTCCCAATTCCCATCTTTCATCATCCTCTTCTCTCTCTCTCTCTCTCATTCTGTTTAACTTCATCTCTCTCACACTCTCAGAGAGTGCTGCAATGGCACCCATGAGTCTTCCTCCTAGTTTCAGATTCCACCCAACGGATGAAGTGCTTGTTGGTTACTATCTAGATCGAAATATCAATGGTTGCACCATTGAGCTAGAAGTTATCCCAGAGGTCAACCTCTACAAATGTGAGCCATGGGATTTGCCCGGTATGTACTTGATTTTGTTTTGTTCAATCTGCAAGATGGAGTTAAAGGTTTAATTTTTGGTTTTCTGGGTGAACTGGAAAAAAGAATAAATTGTGGGTTTTTTTTTTTTGGGAAGTGTTATTCACACTTCAAAAATCTCATTTTACACTCCTCACAAATATATTTTTCTTTCCAAATATAGAAAGTTTGGAAGGTAGAATGAGATTTTTGGAGTGCCCATAACAATTCCTTTATTTTTTATTTTTTATTTATAATAACTTATGTTGCAGGTTTGTTAATTCATGTGTTCATGATAGGAATGCTTCATGGATTTGACTACAAGTTTGTTAATTTTAATAACTGATGTTGCAGGTTAATTTCTCACTGAGAACGCTCAACCCTAGATATAACACACACCTCATTATTACATATCTCTTTCTTTCTCTTTTGTTGCCGCCGCACCCCCCAACACCCCCCCCCCCCCCCCCCCCGCCCGGTTCTTTTATGTTGTTCAGTAAATTAGACCTATACCAGACTACTAAATTTTCCTCTCTAGTTTTATAGGTTTTACTCAAGGGCCGGTAGTAATTAACGGGAATTTTCCTATAGTGGATTGTAATCATCCATGATATAATTGACGAAATCAATTTCTATTTTTTTGTTTTTTTGATTTGGTTTGGTATTAGGGCTCCATAACTTTTCTTGATCTACTTTCCTGATTAACCAAACAGAGCCTTCGTTGCAACACCACTCCATTGTTCTTGATCCTCTTCAATACCAGAGCAGTGGTGGCGCAACCAATTCAACCCTAAACCCTAATTTAGCCTCTGGTCCTTCTTTGTAATCGCGTGTTTGCTTGAATTTGGTAGGAGGATTTGGGCGCTAACGGTAGAAGCCAAATCGTTTTAGCTATACAGGTGTCAAATTTCTAGTGGATTAGTACCACCACTCAGCACTGCCAGCTGGTACTACGGTATCACCTAATAATTTCTCCTAAAGACGAGGTATAGGACACAATAAATTAGAGAAAAATGTAGTCCTTTTAAGTCATTTTATTAACATAAAGGATTCGTTTGGAAATATTTTTAAAATAACTAAAAGTGTTTTTTTTTTAAATTTTTAAATTTTTTGGTAAATATATTTTTGATATCAATCCTTAATAAAAATACAAATGAATATTGAAAAAGAACTTTAAGTGTTTTTTGTAGAAGCAGTGAAGCACATATCTGCCTATCCGGTGCTTTTTTCAAAAAACATACATTAAGCTAATAAATGTATAAAAAATTAGAAAGTCTATGAATTGGAAATATGAAACTGAAAAAAAAATACACTTGGATATTCTCATTAGCAAAATCAAATTCAAATTACTTAAGTATTGAAGAAAATTAAAAAATAAATCGACCGCTCAAAGCCTCAAACTGAATTCAAAAATCGAAATGAAAAATCAAAGTCAGAAGGAACACAAAATTGTTGAAAATAATAGCACACCAATCTTGAAAAAATACCAGAAACCATTGAATCAACACATATCTACGACTAAATAGAATTTAGCTACAACAAACGTATTTGGACATTGAGTTTGCAGAAAGATTAGTTTTTTGTTTTCAGTAACTACGACATATTGATCATGTATTGATGACACAACAATGATAGAATAACGACATTAATAAACATTGATCATTGATGCAACTAAATGTCAAAATATATTTCAAGGGTCGGGCCGACTCCATTTATGGTGGGACCGGATTCGACTTATTTTTTTGTAAATGAGTTTGATCTGGCCCAAGTTTATGCATTTTTATTAGTGGAACTGGCTCATTTGGAGTGTTTGATACAATCTATTTCCTATGGGTTGGATGGACCCGTTTTCAATCATATGTTGTATAATAAAACAACAATTTAAAATAATTTCTATGTGTTTCCATTACAAAAGAATTATGTCTAATAAAGACAGTACCAACAAATATTCTAAAAGAAATGAAGAGACTCTTAATATTCATTGTTTGAAAAAGTTAAATCGTTGTTTTACATTTTAAGGTTAGGTAGATAATGAATTATGGATCACAAACTTCATTGTAGACCGTTAAAAGGTGACAGGTGCCAAGACAACTCTTAAATGGTCCATACGAGATTATTCACACATAAGAAATATAGAACTCGATTTTACACAAGTAGGTTTAAACACTCAAAAGATTTGAGAATGTAATTTCACCAAAGAAGAAAAAAAGTGTTAGAGCATATCCAAAGGAGATGCTAAATATAATATTTCAAAATTTTATTTAATTGTTGACGTGGTCAATTAAATATAAATGTTAAATTTTCTTCCTTTCCACTAGAAGTGTCAAATATTTATTTTATTAATATATTAGGTCTTATAGTTACATTAAATATTAAAAAAAAATAAAAATTGATCTTAGTTTTCATTCTATTAGTGGTAAAGACTCATAAATAAAAAATAAATTAATTAAAGACATTTGACTCCATCTTTGTTTGTTGTAAAAAATGACAGTTAGAAAGCAAGAAGTAAAATGACTCAATTGCCACATCACATATGACATCTCCCTTGAAAAACAATTTGACGTCTTTTAGTTCTAGTTGACGTATTTGACATCTCATTTGAAAAATAGATTTCTTAATATGTCTACAACACGGATTAGTACATCATATGTCAATATACAACTTATAATGGAAGAGAAGTTTTTTTTTTTTTTTTTCAAATATTTCTCAATTGGTATAATGATAGATGACATACATATCCGTATTTCTTGTCTATTAAAAAATCTCTCGGTACAGAGATGGTCTTAACTCTTAAGCATCAACCCCAAACGGTGGTCCCCACAAGCGATACGAAAATCCACCTCCTCTCATGAAGACACCACTAGAACTTCTCATCACGCTGGCCGACCAACCATGCCTTCCCACGTGGCACCGCATGACTCGCTGGCCACCGACTCCATCACAAGATACGCGTAGGCGATGAAAACCAGGTCGTCCCCCGTTCTCCAAAAGGTAGAGTCCACATCCGGAATCTTCCGTGAGCATAAATAAATACACATAAGTGTCGGCTTTATAAATCTCTCCATCTTTCGCTCTCTACACCGTCGCGTGAGAGCTCCGCCGCCGAAACTCTTATCTTTACCCTTTCATGGCGGCTTCCCAGGCGAGTCTTCTCCTCCAGAAACAACTCAAGGGTATTCAGAAAGATTTCAATTCAGTTACTTTGTATTGATTCCGATCGTTGATTGGTTTATCGGATTGGGTTTTCTTCGCCCTGTTGAATCTGATTCTCCAATTTTGTTTTGGCAGATCTTTGCAAGAATCCGGTTGATGGATTCTCGGCCGGTCTGGTCGATGAAAACAATATCTTTGAGTGGAGCGTCACGATTATCGGACCGCCTGATACGCTCTAGTATGTGCCTTTCGGACTCAATTCCGGTTCAATTTACGGGCTTTATTGATTGGGTTTTGTGGTTTAGTTGTTTTGCTTAATAAGATGGTCGAGTCCGGGTTTTTTTTAATTTTTTTTATATATTTTTATGTTTATATGTGGGGATTGGATCAAGAGTGATTGAAATTCTTGTTCTGTTTGATTCGATTTTGCTTTCGGTTTCAATTTGATTGTGATTTTCCTAGATTTTGTGTTTGACTTTTAGTTGAGTGGCGGATTTAGGGTTTTTATCTAATGATGGCGGTACGAGCTTGCGAATTGTATTATTTCAAGTTAGAATTTGTTAAAGTTTCATACTTGGAACTTCGTCTTCAGTTAAAAACTGTTTAGTTTGGTTCTAGGGGTATGTGGAGGTAAAAATATTGTCTTTTAATCAGTTGCACATTGTTAGGTTGGAAAAGTTATACAAATTTCCTAAATTTGGGAAGTGGTTTTATAAATTGGGGATATGTATTGGTTTCAGGCTTTCAGCTTACTTTTCAAATGGTTTGTTGTTTACATTACCTCGGGCATCAATCTATTTTGTTTGTCTTATTTCATTACATGTATGGATAGGTATATCTTCTTCTTTTTTCACCCGTAAGCAGAGCATTTATTTAGGAATTTGCCACTCATTTGAGGTTTGTTGTGTACATATTATATTCATCATTATGCATCGTGTAATTGAAGTTCATGAGTACGTGTTATCTAATTGCAGCGAGGGAGGATTTTTCAATGCCATCATGAGCTTTCCTAATAATTATCCAAACAGCCCTCCGACGGTTAAGTTTACTTCGGAGATATGGCATCCGAATGGTTGGTTTCTATCCTAAGTATTTGATAATTTGCAATTGTTTTTCAAGTACTGATCTTGTCTATTTTTAATATGAAGTTTATACTGACGGGCGTGTTTGCATATCTATCCTTCACCCGCCTGGTGAGGACCCAAATGGTTACGAGCTTGCAAGTGAACGCTGGACGCCTGTCCATACGGTATGGATTTATATAAAATGGTGTCCCCGTATTGCTTCATTTGTAGGAGAGAAAATATCTGCTGCCATGGTAGCAATTCTTGATTCAAAGACTATCTTCACAATGTTCACATTGATACCTATGATCTGGTTCCTTGTGTAGATTCTGAGGTGGATGGGGAATATTCGTTTAGCCACAGTTCGGCTGATTGTTGCGTGTATAAAATATGACATGGACATGTACTAAAAAACAAAAACCAAGGAAATGTTAAATATGTATTTATGCAAAAGTAATCATACATTAGATGATATAATAATAATTAGAGTCAAATTTGATCAATTACTCATAATTCCATTCATTTGTGATCACTTGGTATTATTTCAGAATAATACTACAATAAAAGAAATGAAAATTGTTATTCTTGAATTTATGTTTTGTCGCCAATAAAAACAAGAAGTACCCTTCTTAATGAGGAGATAACTTGTTGTATGCTTACAGAGTTAGATAATCATTATGAGGCTTTCGCCAGTGACATTAAGCCAAGTGAACCATCAACCAGAATGTAAACAGAGTAGATAAAATGGGAAAGGTCAGTTACAGAGGGGGTCCAAGAGAATGGGGGTTGGATCAGGACTAGGTTGCCTAGTTGAGTTTGTTGCCTTTAGACAATGGAAGGAATAAATGGGGACTGCAGAGTTATAAAAGGAACACGAGTGGCTATGTTGCAGAGGAAATTTTAGAAGAGGAGAGGAGCAAGAAAGGTTTGTGATAGGGGAGAGAGAGAGGGAGATTGTCGTAGGTGGATGAATTTGGGTTTGAGGAGGATAAATATAACATGGAAGAGAGTATTTTTTTTCAAATGCGCAGTTGTTCAGAAACGTAACAGGGGTGGTGGGATTAGAAATTGGCAGCTTAGTGAGGGTGATGGTTCCAAAATTCCTCTTTTATCGATAGAGTTGGGTGTAGCAGATAGCCTAGAAGTAATATTATGAGCAGGGCATTTTTTTCTTCCAAAAGTCGTGATTGTGTTCCATGTAAATGCAATTACTGTTTTTTTCATAACATTTTTTTAACTTCAGGCTTGATTGTTGTGACAATTATATCATCTTACGATTGTTATGTTTATTTTTTGCCTAATAGATTTGAGCAAATACTCTTTTTGTTTGGTTAATATCCATTCCACTATTCATAATGTATTGTCAATAAGTGGAAGTCATGGAGCTTCGTTCAAACTCCTAAAATTACAAAGTATATTCCCAGAGAAATTTTTTGGTGTACTTGGAATTTTGGTTGTTCCATGCAATGCAAGTTATAGACCTATACGTTGTCTCATCCACAATGTAGTTTTGGTGGCATGACATGTATCACACCTTCACTCAACTTCTAAAAATGTTGTATGTATTGCATGACTCCTTTGTAGTGGGAGTGATTTCTCCTCTCATGGGTATCATTAGAGTTGAGAGAAAACATAATTTATGAGATTTTGTGGAGTTGTCAGATCATTACTAATATTTCACATAGATCTACAATCTATCATGCCTTGTGCCTAAGGCTCACCTTAAGGTTCAATAATATGGCTTTAATGTCTGACCTTGGGGCTCTTCCACGGATCTCAAGTCCGGAGGAGCTTGTCTCAGTGGTATCATATCCTGCTGTCATTCGGCAAGTTCTTGTATTTCCTTCCAGCTGGTTAAAACATGTGGTTTTACTCCTTTTATAATTTTTGTGGAAGAACTTGGTAATCTAAGGTATTTGTGAAGCAAAAAGTAGATGTTAAGAAGCATTTTCTCAATGGATATGTTTTGCTTTATTTTTATTAAAACAATGGTACTGCATTTACAAACGTGGAAATGTTGTTTCCAGGTTGAAAGCATAGTCTTGAGTATAATATCGATGCTATCCAGTCCAAATGACGAATCTCCTGCAAATGTTGAAGCTGCTGTAAGTGATCCTTTATTGTATTGTCTCTGAACTGCTCTGCATGATGTTGAATGTTATAAACATTTCCCACATTGACAACTAAAGTTATATTGGGAAGCAATATATTTCCATTGCATGAGTTTTGCATATGGTAGATACCCCATGTTCCGATTTGTTGACGGCTTTACACATAGCACATTAGAACATATTTTGAACTTACTGCATATATTGATTTAATGTACTTCTCGTGACTGTCTAAACGACTAATGGCGCATAAGTGTGTGGTTGTCTGAATATTCGGAGAGAGAATTTGAGTTTACTTTCGTCTAAGTATTCTAAGATTCTGCCGGTGTCCAAATTGCAGAAGGAGTGGAGAGACCGGAGAGAGGATTTCAAGAAAAAAGTAAGCCGCTGTGTGAGGAAATCACAAGAGATGCTATGAATATGAATATGAACATGATATTGCTACCAAGTAAAGCATTTTCTCCGCGCAAGTGTGTTAGAGGATGTGTTAATTGGCAAAGCGTATGCCATTGATTTTCTCACGCAAAATATCTTTATTTCTTTTTGTTTTTTGTTTCTCTCTTTTTCTTCTCATTGTCTAGTAATTGTTAAAACATGGAACATCGTTGTATTCAATTTGTATTGGCCTATTTGGTGAGCAAGTGTTCTTGTCTAAGCGACTAATTGCTTTCTTTTGGTTTTTGCTTGATGGACTGGATTCCGGCTTCAGTTTACCGTCGATGTCGTTTTCAGTATATAATCGGCATCATCATGCTGGTTAATATAGGCCGGCCAGCTCGTCGTGACCGGATACGTCTACCTCTTATACTTAACACAAATTATTAGGCTCTTGCCCGTCTGCGTGCATTCACGTGGACTGGCATGTGTGCAAAATGGTTGATGTCCATGCAAGTGGATGTTCTACTATGCTCTGATGTATCTATATGGCTTACCGAAATTCAATATGAATTTTTCAGCAGTCGAATTCTTTGAGAATCGCAACAATTGTGGCAACGGTCCATATCATCCAATCCACTTTCTTCTTAATTTTGGTCTTCTGGTTGAAAATAAGAAAGTCTTTATGCATCTTTAATGAGATGCAACTTCGAAATTGAGATGTAAAAGTTATATTTACGTTCTATTTTAGACTTATGAGAAATATAAATAAGAGTTTTACTCAAGTGAGGGAGATGTTAATTTGAGATTCCACCGTCAAGCCAAAACATATATTTTATGAGAACAATCTAAACACGTAAAATACGCATTTCAACGAAGAAGATGCTCTTTATGCCCTAATTTTACAAAACTGTTGTAGATACTTTTGGTTAGACAATTGATATTGGCACTCTAAAATTTTCATTTTGTACTCAACCCTTCTTTATTTAGAGAAAAAAATACTTGTAAAGAGTGCACAATGAGATTTATTACAAGAATAGTGACTATTAGGAGCGGATATAGTGGAATTGCCCCTATTAATTTTCATTAGGGGCAGAAATGCAGATTTGCCTCTAGGGATGGCATTCAAACTGTCAAACCAATAACTGTAGATAACTGCCCAAATATTATGAATTTGCGTATAAAATTTCGGGTATATTTGGGATATAGGGAAAAACCATGAATATTATTTGGTTATTGTTTCATATATGGTTACATGGGTCTCCAATTCGTATTCCCCACCGAATCTTACCAAATAATATATAATGATATAATAGAATAGTACTATATATATATATATATATATTTATATTCATTCTTCACCGAACTCATTTGAGAATACAAAAGTTGCATTTTGTGGGAAAGTTCAAAAATTTTGAATCAAAATCAATAAGAATTCAATAGTGTTTATGAGAGATATCAAAGATCATGCAATGTCATCTAAGTTTTAAATTCAATGTTTTAATTTTTATACTTTACAAGATATGTTCACTGTATCATTTTATACATCAAATATTCCAAGTTTATCGTCTCTCTTCAAGAGTCTCACAGTCAAGAAATTGGTGAATATTTAATGACGAAATTAATATCTACTAAATTATAGTTCGTCAATTGAATGAATATATTTTTTTATATTGACAAAGATAGATATAATCGTTAACTGATGGGAAATTCGTTACCCAATGAGTATGATTATGAATCGTTAATGGTTAATTTACGGTTATAAATATGATTAATTTTCGTGATTATACGAATAAATATAGAATTTCTGTCCTTAAAAGCGTTTCCCTCTCTATTTGCCTAGAATAAAAATTATAGATGCGGAACAAAAAAAGCCCTATTAATTCATTACTTTTAGTTCCATTAGGTGGATATCTATATTTTTAATTTATATGTAATTTTTTTTTTCTATTAAGAGGCGGTGAAAAAGAAAACAAAAGCAGTCCAATTGATGCTCCCTATCTATGGTTGCGCGCGCTCTTCCACGGCCGCAGAAACATTTCATCTCCCTTATTCATCGTCCTTGATATTTTTACTGGAGTACTCTCACCACCATAGTCGACTCAACTACCATCTCGACAACGTGTGATGAGATCTGAGTACCCACCCATTCACCACCGTCGTTGGCTACCATCTCGACAACATGCGAGAACATTTGAAGAACCCACATCTGGTTCACACTTTCAGGTGAAACCAATAGTTCAGTATACCCACACAAATATAGTTTCGAAAAGATTCAAGATTCGGTTCATATATATATGGTAACTCTCTCTACCATCCATTGATTTTCATTTTAGGGCTTCTGAGTTTGTTTATGCGTACATGCTTGGGAACAATTTTATAGTTGAATTATTTTTCCGTACTTATTGCTTTGAGAATGAGTCCTACATTAATAGGAAGAAAGATCTTATATGAGTTTATAAGAGGTTATGCTATCTTCCATTTTGTCAATTGGTTTTATGATGGAACTTCAATTTCATTATGGTATCAAAGCAGGTTGTTCTACGTGTGAAACCAAACGGCCACATGCGCTCCACCTCATGCTATTGTTTATTCATGTGTTAGGCTTGAAAATTTGCCACATCTGAAGGAGCATGTTGAGAAAACCTTGTATGGGTTTATAAGAGGTTGGACTACTCCCCATATTACTAATTAGTTTTATGGTGAAACCTCAACTTATTCATGATATCAAAGCAGATTATCCTACGTGTAAAGTCAAACGGTCACACGAGCTCTATGTCATCCTGTTGTATTGTCCACGTGTTAGGCTTGAAAATTACCACACGTGAGAAGACATGTTGAGAATGAGTCCCACATTGTGGGAGGAGAGACCTTGCATGAGCTTATAAGAAGTTGAGTTACTCTTCATATTGCTAATTGATTTGATGGTGGAAACCAATTTCATCACAATGACGATAACAAGAACGATATAGTAGTCATTCAGAGAGGCAAACGCTGATATGTATCCAAAGGATGGAAGATGCTTGTTTTTAATTTGCATCATTTGGCTCAGATGCAAAAGATTGCGAACGGCCATCAGCTGTGATATGGAGGCCCTTGCAAATAAGTTTCCAGACTCAACTGGGAAATGACATGCATGATTTATAACAAACCAGTTCAGACGATGACCAGAAAGCAAGCTACATGTTGGAATTAAACTCATGATTCATTTTATTGAACTTTTTAACGTAAAACTGGGAAAAAAAAACATTATAAATTCATTTATTCATGATTATCTCAGAAACAGGATCAGTGTTTTGTTGGTGGATTGACATAGCTTCCCAACCTCACCACGATCCCATCAAGATCTCTTACGTAACCCACTTTCTGTCCCCACTCCTTCGCTTCCGGCGCGCTCACCGGAACCGCCCCGCTCTCCACCGCCCTCTACTCAAACCCAATTCACACAACAAAAAAGCAAATCAGTCACAATATCCCATAATCGAACAATAAAACAAGAACACTGCTTGATTTATTCCTTAAATCACAGTCGACTGCTTGGTTCATTCCTTAAAGTTGATGCGTATTCAGAAATAACTCATTAAAAAGCATAAATCATTTGTAATAATTTATAAACGCATGTCAAACTATGATTTATCTGCACGAGAGAATGTTCCCTTCTAGGTAATTAAGGGTAACTGAAGAGCCAAATATTTTTCTAATAACAATGCCAAAAACAAAGGACGTGTTAAGGCAGCTAATTAGGATTTTACCTTATAGGCAGCATCAACGTCACCGTACGCAAAGCAAACCTCAATCGGCTGCCTCTCGCGGCCGGAGCTTGGGGTCTGGACGGCACCTGTCAGATCATCGGTCTCGTGCTGGTGTAGCGGTGTGAATGCTATCGTCGTTTGCCCGCTTTCCAGCTCCCCCCACCTATCAACAATTAATATCATCACCATCACCATCATAAATTATTAAATTTCTTCATGATTATTTACAAAACCTCTGTATATGCAGTTAATAGGTACCTGACAGACAATTGAAAAGAAAAGAAAATGATGTGAGAAAATAATTTCCCTAAAAACATGTATGTACCTGTTGGAGTCGTCCAAGCGACGGATATCGTAGCCGAAGGCTTTGGAATAGAAGGTTGTGGATTTGGCAACGTCCTTCACGTAAACCACCGTGTAGGCAAACACTGTGTTCGTCTTCGACGCCATCGCCATTTTTTGTTTTTTGATCGAGTTTCGTTTCTTTGATGTGTTTGAGCTTGTATTCCGGGGCTTTCATCAGTTTCAGTTTCACCGACTTTTGGATGTACGTGGCGAGTTGTGGAGAATTGGAATGTGCCACGTGGAGTCTGTGCATGTTGAACCAAAAGGTGCTGCCGCGTGGTCAGTGATTCAGTGTGAAGTGGCGACCAGGCCACGATTTGTTTGTTCCTTGACATGCAAATGCTGTTGGACAAAACTTGGATCCTCACCGGTGAGGACTCAATATACTGACATTACCATCTAAGCCAATCCAATCAAGCCATCTGTCGTTTAAAACTCTCTCCGCACCTATAACCAAGCGACGAACTTTAACCTTGCACCTGTAACCAAACAGTTCCTCTCTCCTCCGTCCCATGCCGCAGATCTCATCCCCGTCCCTTTCGTTACGCCAAATTCAACCCGAATTTCTCCATCAAACTCTCTCCTCCGACGAACCCAACCCTGCCCACCCATACCCAACTCTCCTCTGCCATGGCACCGCTTTCTCTCCTTCCTGTCATGGTTGTATCGGGAAAAAGATAGTGGATTGGGGGCGGGTTCGACGAAGGAGAGAGGAAGGAGGAGGAGACGTGGATGTGGTCGACGGAACGGGGCTATCACACAAATTGCTTACTCTGTCGCACAGTAGGTGTTTGGTTAAATGTATTGGTGAGAAACGTGTAGTTGTGAGTCTGTGTTTACTTTCATTGCTAGATTTCCTGTCCACTAAATTTTCATCTTTCTGTTTTCATGCAGGAAATTATATTTTGGATGCAAAATTTGATGTTTTTGTGATATTACTACCCAAAACAAGAAGCGATATTAGCAATTCTCTCTCCTCCACCTACGCCCCGGCGCCTTCATTGCCATCTTCTCCAGGTACCCAACTTCCCAATAAAAAAATAAGGGTATTACTGTAAACAAATTATAAAACAGCAACTATCAAAATCAGAATAAAAATCGAACGTGAAGAACCCACTGTAGAGGAAAAGAAACCACCCGTACCGTTCAGCAGGTAACTGTAAACTACCAGCCACCCTCATCTTACATAATTGAAAAATTAGTGCGTGCTTTTTCATTCTATACAAGTGAATCACAACAAAATCTAAAAGGATGGTGAAGACGAGGCGGGGTCATGCATGGGCCTTCTGTCACTATTTTCAGAGGCATATTACTCTCTTTCTTTTCTCCCTCTCACACTTATACTTTTTGATATATTTTCCTCCTATTAAATTGGTGACTTTTTCACCTTTCATTGAATACTTTATGATGATGTTTCATTGGTCATTTCTTAATTGCTTCAATTAAACTGGTATTATTATTTTGTGCTCGTGGGGTTTGTGCTAGGGGAGGCTGGCCGAGGCGGAGCAGGTTGGGTTGTTTCATGCAACTATGAGGGGATGGAGAGGTTAGTCATGAGATGGGGGTTATATAGTGTGAAAAAGGCACGAGAGAGAGAGAGAGAGAGAGAGAGAGAGAGAGAGAGAGAGAGAGAGAGAGAGAGAGAGAGAGAGAGAGAGTCAATGACTGTTTAGGAGAAATTAATCTATAAAAGAGTTAATGACTGGAACATTTGAAATGACCTTGAATATCTATACTTTTGGCTCAGCATTCTATTTTGTTCCAACTTCTTTCTCGCCTAATGAGTAGCCTATTTGATTGTATTAACTCTTACTTTGACATTTTTTATTTGTCATTGCTGATAATTTATATAACATGGTTTATCCTCCTAACATTGTCTCGATTATTCAAAGAGTAAATTCCTTGCTCTCTCTTTCTTTAATCTGGTAGGTGGATTTTTCAAATTGATTCTCGACCCGAGAGAGAGAGAGAGAGAGAGAGAGAGTGTGTGTGTGTGTGTAGAGAGAGAGAAGGCAAAGATGGTTTGGCATTTAGGTGACAACGGTTTACTTGCGTATGGTTTAAACAAAATGCCCAAATGCTGATTTATCATATTATGCATATTTAGCTTAACTTCTATGTAGTTGAGTTGTTGCTTGAGTATGATTAAAGTGAGAAAAGTAGTAGTGCTGCAACGGAAGAAGAGGGAAGAGAAAGTTGAAACATCTTTTTTTTTTTCTTTTTTTTTTTTAAGGTAAGATAGTTTCATCACTTTTGGTTTACCCTTATTTCCATGATTTTGTTATTAATTAATTAATTAATTCTAAATGTTCAATTTTGTTTCATCACTTTCAATTCACACTCTTCTCTTTCTCACTCTTCACCTGTAGAGCCGTTGTCAGGTACGACGATGATCTGTGCTTTATTTTATGACGATGATTGTTATTCAATTTTCCCATTTCATTTTTAACATTTTTCAATTCACACTCTTCTCTTTCTCACTCTTAACCTGTACAGCTGTCCCGTGTCTATAAGTGGTTCAATGCATTAGACGTGAATAGCTGGCGTGATGGGAAATGGTAATTCAAAAGTATTTCTCTATTTATTTCTTCTGCATTTTATTAATTTATTTGGCTATCAAATGACACTCTGTTCTTTTCTGTCTAAGATTTTGTCGGAGAAGAAAAATGTCACGCCTGCATGTTTATTAGGCACTCGTCGACTCATATTCAAAGGTACTGAGCTTAAATGTGTCTTTATTGTTCTGTTTTCTATTTGGTACTCATATGTTCCTCAAGCTTAAATGTGTCTTGAAATGCCACCTTTGTATTTGTATGAGACGCAACTTGGTTCACAAACCTATGGGCCCAAAACTATCTTCTAAAACCAGATTTTTCTGATTCTTCCTGCAACCCAATGAATAGATAAAGCCATTGAGCAGTACTGCATGTTGAAAAACATGCCCACTAGACCTTGTTCTTTAATGTAACCAACAGACAATAGACTAAACTAGCAAATATAGAAAAAAACCTAGAAACACAGAAGAATTATACTGGTTCGACATAACTTTTGCCTACGTCTAGTTGTGATTTCTCTAGGTAGAGAAATCACTGCTCCCTTGATTAATAATAGAGATTACAAAACTTTTGCAAACCCTAGAACTAATCTTAAAACTCTCGGTTGTCTCTGGCTGTTTTCTTTCTTTGAAAAAATTAAGCCTTGCCGCACCCTATTTATAGGCATAGGGTAGACTTACATGTCCCAAGGCTGATTGAATTCCTATTTCTAAGTGGACTAGGAAATTACACTTATCCAAATCAAAATAAACTTCTAGAAATCCAAACCTAAATTGAATAAGGAAAACTGAAATTCTTTTCTAATCCCTCTAGGACAAGAATCGGTATACCTCTAATTTTTCTAAAACAATCCAAAACCAATTAGGACATATTTGATGAGCCAAAATCCTAACAATCTCCACCTTGGTGAGTCAAACCAAATCTTGATCATTGCACCCCAAAGTATCCTTGAACTTTCTTGAAGCAGCTATGGAAATCTTTAAGAGTGTTCACCTTGGCAATCTTCTTCTTGCCTCATTGCACCTCAAGTGAGGAGGTGCTCCATTTTAATCAATCAATGAGCTTGAACTTCTTGGTCGGCACTATCTTTGTAGGGAAATTTGCAACATTGTCATCTGTATGAATCTTTTCAATCCAAATTTCCTTAGACTCCACCTAATCTCTAATTTTGTGATACCTTGCTTCAATGTGTTTTGATCTTCCAGAAAAAACATGATTCTTTGCCAAGTGAATGACACTTTGACTATTATACTTAAGCTTCACACAATCTTAAGTGATTCCCCTTTGACTTACCAAGCCACTAAGCCAAATCGCTTCATTTCCAGCTTCGGCCAATGCAATATACTCTACTTCTGTGGTCGACAAAGTTGTAATTGGTTGCAGTAGTGTCTTCCAACTAATTGGTCCTCCTGCATATGTAAACACATAACCAGAAGTTGACATTCTTTTGTCCAAGTCCCTTGCATAATCGGCATCCACATCTCCTAACACCCCTGCATTTTCTTTTTGCTTCTTAAACATAATTCTTTGTCGCCAAGAACCCTTCAAATAACACAAAATCCACTTGATTGCACCCCAATGTTGCTTTCCTAGATTTGCCATGTATCTGGAAATGACATTGATTGCTTGAGCTATGTCGGGACGTGTGCATACCATTGCATACATGAGGCAGCCCACGTCATTAGCATAAGACACCTTCTTCATTACTTGTTGCTCTTCCTCGGACTTAGGACACTGTTGTCCACTTAACCTGAAGTGAGCCGCCAAAGGAGTCAAAACTACCTTTGCTTCTTGCATATTGAATTTCTTAATAACCTTCTTAATATACTTGGCGTGTAATATCCAAATCCTTCCAGCGGTCCTATCTCTATGAATTTCCATGCCAAGGAACTTCTGTGCAGCACCTAGATCCTTCATGTCAAACTCCTCGCTCAACATCTTCTTCAAGTCTTGAATTCTAGACTTGTCTTGACAAGCAATTAGCATGTCATCCACATATAGAAATAGTAATATGATCATCCCATCTTGGAACACATGATAGTACACACAACAGTAATATATAAACATCTTCTAAAATTGATTTTCAGCATCAAGGAATCAAACCTCTTGTACCACTGCCTTGGAGACTGTTTCAGGCTATATAGAGACTTTCTTAGTTGACATCCTATATTTAACAAACCTTTCTGGTTGAGCCATGAAAATCGTCTCCTTTAGGTCCTCATTAAGAAACGTTGTCTTCACATCCATCTGCTCAATCGCCATGCCATGCTGAGCTGCCATTGTTAAAAGCAATTTGATAGAAATATGCTTGACTACATGTGAAAATATCTCATCATAATCCACCCCTTCCTTTTGTGAGTACCCCTTAGCCACGAGCCTTACTTTGAATCTCACGGCATCTTATTCATGTAGTCATTCCTTTTTCCTAAATACCCACTTGCATCCAATTAGCTTTCTGTCTTTGGGTTTAAGAACCAACTCCCAAACAAAGTTCTTGTAAAGAGACTCCATTTCTTCTGTCATAGCACTTATCCAACTATCTCGTTCATCACTTACTATAGCTTCTCGATAAGTAGTCGGATCTCCTTGACTAATGTTAAAAGCATATTTAACTTCATCTTGGTTAAACCTAAATCTGTCAGGTTTCTTTTTGTTCCGATTAGGTTTTTCTAGTGCTATGCATCTCTAGAATGCAGGTGGATTGTTGGTTGGAGTTTGAACCTTTTGATATGTCTGGCGGATTGGAGTGCCTTTAATCTACCCTGTTTCTTGCTCCACCTGATTCCTAATTGGTGAAAGGTTGATGCTCTTTTTCTTCCTCAAAACCATCAGATTCGACGGCTTGCTCGATTTGCTCCACTAAGCTTCTTCATCTGAACTAATTAATGGAATCTTTGTTGCTTCAATTTTAGCATCGTCAATCTTCTCTCTACTACGACTGACAACCTTTTTCTTGTTGTTGAAATCCCAAAGCTTGAAACCCTTAACTCTTTTCTCAAAACCTAAGAAAATGCAATGTGTAAACTTCGGTTTGAGCTTGGACCTTTCATCACTTATAATATGTGTATAAGCACTACATCCAAACACCTGAGCTTGGAATAGTTCACCGGCTTCTTATACCATACCTCTTCTACACTCTTAAATCGAGAAATGTAGATGGTGACCTGTTAATCAAATAACTTGCATGATTAACAGCCTCTGCCTAAAAACTATCAGGCAATCCTGCATGAAATTGCATGCTCCTCCCTTTTTCTCCATGAGAGTTTGGTTCATCCTCTCAGCAGCTTCATTTTGTTGGGTTTAATATGAAGTGCCTTATGATGCATTCCTGCTTGTAGTAATCGATAAACTCATTACTTGTATATTCACCTCTATTGTCACTTCTCAGGTACTTGATCTTTCTTCTAGTTTGATTCCCGGTTTCTGTTTTCCATTCCTTGAACTTTCCAAAAACCTTGGATTTCTGCTTCATGAAATAAACCCAAACCTTCCTAGAAAAATCATCCATGAAAGTAACAAAATACCTGGCTCCACCATTTGATTTAGTTGGTGCAGGGCCTCAAACATCACAGTGGATATAACTGAGTTGCTCCTTGCAAATGATTCATTTCTTTGCTTTCCGAGAACACAATATTCACAAAAATTCAATTTGCAAGATGACACACCTTTTATCAGGCCTTGCTTGTGTAATTCTTACAACCCCTTCTGGCTTATGAGCCCGAGCCTATGATGTCAGAGTTCAGTCTTGTCTTCTACACTCTGATTTTCAAAAATAGCTGCTCCCCCGACTATAGTGGTCTCAATTAACTTATATAGCTTATTGGGTTGTAGGTCACCCTGTATTACCACTAACGGCCATTTGGTTACCCTGAGTCTTCCTTTTTTAGACTTGTACCCATAACTAGCCTTATCTAAAGTACCCAAGGAAATCAAATTCTTTCTTAGTCTAAGGATATATCTAACGTTCCCCAAAGCATGTATCATCTCATTGAACATTCTGATTCGAACAATGTCATTTCCTCTTACAGGACATGAAGAATCGTCCCCTATTAAAACTTCCTCGCTGTTGACTTTTTTGTAAGTATTGAACCATTCTCTTACTGCACACATATGAAAAGTGTATCCGGTATCCAAAATCCAATTTGTGAAAGCCTTGGAGCCGATGTTACTGAAAGAAGCTCCCCGTCACTCTCATGCTTGGTGACTGCACTAGCTGAACCTAAGCTTCCTTACATCTTGGCTTTCTCTTGCAGTTCATCTTCCAAAGCAACCTTTCTTTTTTTCCTTTTTCTTCTTGGATTTTGACCTACCTCTGTTGCTGGTTTTCTTTTCCTTTGTCTTTTCCCGTCCCCTCTCCTTACCTTTGGCATAAAGCCCTTGAGAGCTTTCAGTTATATCATCCAAAATAGCATATGACTGAAGAGCTTGAATTACGTCTTCAAGCTTCAAGGACTCTTTTCCAAACATTAGAGTTGTTCGAAAATGCTTGAAAGACGAAGGTAGAGACCTTAGCAAAATGATAGCTATATCATCATCTTTATAAGTTTCTTTGACCTTCTGAAGATTAGTTGTGCAATTCTGGAACCTACTGTTGGAAATGTGCCCTAAAACCAATCATATGATGATACTTTATGGACATTTCACATGTTAAACTAATCTAGTTTAATATTAAGGGCAAAGATTATTGTTTGAGCCGTCTCATATAAATGTTATATGCTTAAACGATAAGTCCAAGGAATATGTGATTGGAAGAATGCGATCTAAAGAAGTTAGATTCATGAGACCATTCTTTCGTTGACACATCCTAAACGTTCCTGATCATAGGATTGTCAATTGGGCATTGACAGTCCGTTAAGATCAGTACGTGCTATGTCTTCTCTCAGGGAGAGTGACTAGTCTCGAGTCATTGATGTGTGTGACATCAAGACAAGTACGTAGGTGCTCAATAGAGAATGAGTTCACTGAACACGATCAACGAAGAGTTCTCATATTCATGTCACATGAGAACTCATGGTTGGGATAATGCAAATTAGTCTTTTGACCTGAGGCATCACAGTTGTCTTGTGGTTAGGTCCTTAATCTTTGATTATGTCAAAGTCACTCCATCAGGAGGGTGTCCACGACATCGTTGGGGTTAAGCCACTTAGCCATGGAGGCAAGTGAATGCGCAACAAGGGATCTCTAACCTTCAAACTGTTTGAGGGAGAATACTCTATGATATGATTAAGAATCTTTGGCCAAAGTATGAATGAGATTTAGGAATGTGTTCCAAATCACATTCAAGGTAATCATATAAGCACAAGACTCACA